CCACCAGACCCATTCACTTTGCTTCCTTGTCCAACTTGGGAAAGGCAGAACAGACTTCCCGGTTTTTGCTACCGATGATATCGATCTCATCGGTATAAGCCAGCAATTGCAGGCTCTTGTAGTAAATTGCTCCTGAGCGGTTCAGTTCTGCAGTTCTTATTATCTTCTCCAACATCAGATTAAAGATGTCATATGAAAAGAGTCGCCCTGTCTGAAGCGCCGTTTGGTGGCGAACGGCTCGGAGGGGTCTTCCCAATTCTGACGGAGCTGGTGGTATTGCTCAACGTCATTTTACACAACCGTATCAATTTAGCGGGGATGCCTATTTCAGACATAGCGGCGTATAGGTAACTCCCTTTAGTGCTGTCAAAAGCGGCTTTAAAGTCGACAAATAGGTGGTGAGTGTCGATCCTTTTCTCGCGGGTCTTTTCCAAGATTTGGCGTATTGTGAATACCTGGTCTATGGTGGATTTTCCAGGCCTAAAGCCACACTGATAAGGCCCAATCAGTTCATTAACGGGGGGCTTCAATCTTTCATACAATACGCTCGATAAGACCTTGTAGTTGGCGCGTTGGGGCTCTTGTTCTTCTTCTCCACAACTTTCCGTGCTGCTACCATTCAGTAGGGTGGAAAAATGTCCCCTCCATAATTTAAGTACGTTCTGAACATCGGTAACTAGGTCGCCATTGTTGTTCTTACAGGAGTACTCCCTGGTCTTGAAACCTTCGGTAAGTCGCCTAACTATGGTAAAATTTTCGGGCATTCTTCCTGTCGGCCAGCATTTCAAGCTCTTCGCACTCACGTATTTCGGGCTCTCTCTTCTTATTGCGGCAAATACGTCTCGCTTACCTCTTCAGACCCCTATAGCGGTCCCACATAGCGCGCATTGCGCCCGATCGCAGCGTGGCCCTGCAAGCGGCATCTTTTTTCTCTGCAGCTTTCCGACACTCCTCATCGTACCAGTTGTTTTTTCGGGCTCGCTGAAATCCGACTACTTCTTCGGCGGCGGTACTTAACGAGCGGGAAATGTGGTTCCACTGCTCGCATATGTCGGTTTGTTGAAGAGTGCTCTCTGAGAGCAGGTGTGAGAGTCGAGTAGCGAATGCATTGGCTGTCGGTTGTGATTGCAGCTTTTCGACGTTAAGATTTCCTTGAATGTTCGGGCGTACATTTTTTGCTGCACAGAGGCGGGTGCGTAACTTGGCTGCAACAAGTCGAGTCGATGTTTGGGCCTTGGAGTGTACGTATGCCCAAAATACTGCATACTACCATGTTTCGGGCCCCGGCGAAATCGATCAGCCTCAATCCGTTATCGGACGTTTCGTCGTGGAAGCTGAAGTTTCCGACGGTGGTTCCAAAGATCCCTTCTTTGCCCATCCTGGCATTGAAGTCGACAAGCACGATTTTGATATCGTGGCGGGGGCAGCGCTTGTACGTGCGCTCCAAGCGCTCATAGAAAATATCCTTGGATACCTCATCCTTCTCTTCCGTGGGGACATGGGCGCAGATGAATGAGATGTTGAAGAATCTCGCTTTGATGCGGATTATGGCTAGACGCGCGTCCACCACGGTGAACGACAGTACTCAGCCACGGAGTCTCTCTCCCAACACAAATCCAACTCCGAATTTGCGCTCCTTTACATGGAAGCTGTAGTATACGTCGCAAGGCCCTAGGCATTGCTTGCCTTGCCCCGTCCAACGTATTCCTTGGATGGCGGTAATGTCAGCTTTTGTTCTTACGAGGACATCAGCCAGCCGGGCAGAGGCTTCCTTCCCCATTAAGGGTCCGGACATTTCAGGTGCATGCCTTCAAATCGTAGTCCTTTAAAGATTTGCCGTAGTCCGAGGCATTGTTTCGCTTCTTCACTGGAAGGGGTTTTTACGTGGCGGGTCCCAAACCCAGCGCACAAGATAACAATTACAGTAATTGTAATTATGAAAATTGCGATTACGAACACTTTAATTGTAATCCATCGGGTCGGCGTAAAACTGTAGTTTTCCCCCTTTGTGTGAAAACATCAAGGCGGGCAGTTAATCAAAATCAAAATTTATTTTGAATACTGGGACTACGAGTCCCAGTGTTGAATATTAAAACAATTTCGAACAAATATCCGAGTTTTAGTGTATAAATATCAATATTACTTATTTCTCGATTACTGTAATCGTAATCATGCAATTGTAATCCTAAACATTTTTGACTACTGTAATAGTAATCATAATTTTCATCAACCCAATTACCATAGTTGTAATATTAAAATTTTTAGGATTACGATTACTATAATCATAATAATGAAAAGTGCAATCAAGCATGTCATAANGAAATTATTTTTCTTAAGTTAATTTACAGCTACAAAGTTACTTACCACTACCGAAATCAGCCAAAGTCTCATTGTAATTAGGCACGACATTCGGATGATATTTTGCCTGCTGTTCGCTCAATGCGCTCTGTGTAAGCGATGATGATGTTGCGCAATGTTCGTATATATTCGTAGTCGTTGACGTCGGTCTACTGCGGTAGACCGGCGTAATTTCCACACGATGTGCCACCGGTGATGTTGTATTTCGTGCAAAATTCGAGTCGTTTATATTATGAATGGACACCTAATGTAACAAATAAAAATTTTTTAAGTTTAAAGTATTGATTCGATAAATGTGTTAAATTCATTCTCAATCACCTCACTGCTTAGATTTTGCCCAGGTATTAAATTCTTCAAGAATGATGCATCATCATAACGTATAACACCCGTATTAGTTATACCATCCAAATATGAATTATAACCGGTTATGGTGGGTGGCGGTGAGTCCTCACCACAATTATGATGATGTAGGCAGTCAGCACCGCCATCAAAGAGCGAACCAGTATTGCTGGAATGAGCAACTGGTGTTGATATTTGACTGCTATTACTTTGTGCTGCTGGTGGGAAAACGTCTACAAAACCGTTATAATAGCTAGACTGCTGGTATTTCTCTTGCAATGAGGCAGAAGTTAAACAGCTACCAGTACCTGCACCGCCACCACCAACGGAAGCACCAACCCCAACACCGCTATTACCGGCATTGGTAACACAACCATTTCCTGCACTGCCGAGGTAAGTTGCCGCCGCTGCTGCCACTGTAATTAGGAATAGAAGTAAATAAATTATGTATGTACATCTTATAATTTTTAAGTGTAGTCACACGTGGCAATGCAAGTAGTTTCGAAAAGTCTGTCGCACTGATATATTTCGGAAAATAGTCCCCAAGCCCCCAGCCAATGCATGCAAAGTGACCTTGGAGGTAGTGTTTTATTTTTGAAAAGCGAACATTCGAAAAATAATTTTTGGCTGTTCACAAGGTGATAGCAGAATACTTCAGGATTTTTCAAGAACGGTAGTTTGGATGAACCAATTCTGCAGATGTTTGACAAAAAAGAATTAAACAAAATAAAAACAAAAGAAACCACGTATATTCAATTGCATACATGGGAAAGTGGATCCTAATCGCCCTGGTCATATTTTTATTATTTTACAGTTTTACTAGTTGGTACAACAAATGTTTTGATACATGGTGGCAAAGTAAAAACGGGTGAACGTTTCCAAAACTTTTTTCTACTTATTTTATAACCCAATGGCTACAGATTGTGGAACACTATTTTCGAAATGGCCGCCATTTGCCTTCCAGCAGCTATGAAGTCGGCTTGGAAACTCATCGATTGCAGTAAGTATCTCATACTACGGGAAATTTTCCAAGGCTCGCACAAGCGCGCTCCGAAGACCCAGCACTTGACTGTCGAGTAGTGCAAGGCATAGCGCCTTTGGAATGGATCATTATTTTTAAATCAATCGATCGAGGTCTGGGTACCAGATGGCAAATCATCTGTGAAAATTAAGCATACGAAAAGCATAAACCCTATCGTTCAGTTTATTTTGAACGATTCTTCCGCAGTGAAAATTTAATCATTAGTAAACAGAATTTATTTGGGACCGTTTGTTTTAACACTTCTGAAAGTAAGTGTCCGGTATATCTTATATACGCTGAGTCTCAAGTCGGATGCTGTCCTTGTTGATATTCATTTCCCCGGAAGTGATTTTCTGCTTGCACAGCGGAGTTCGATGAATTCGATTTTTCTTTGGCGTTCGCAAAGTGCGTGCACAGCCAGATGGTTTCCACTGTATCCTAGTATAATTTCACTGTACGTTGCACAAAATTTCGATTGATTTTCAGTGGCCACATCATCCCAAATATTTCGCATTTTGCGCAGCTGCGAACACCATTCTATTATTGCAAACAACTTACATAAAAATTGTAAAAGCGGGAATTTCGCGTAAATGTCAATTTTCAAATAGTCGTTAACTTAAAGAGTGTGCCCAGCCGACAGAGAAACGTACCGTATATTCTTCGTATCCGGAAACGTTCAGAAAATTAAGTTTTTGTAGGTGCCGTCCGGGTTCGAATACCGTCAGACTCAATAAAAAGATTCGTTATTTTTGTTAAATATTTTCGAACTATGAAAAAGCATCTGTAACGTGCAGAAGGAAAGCGTATTGAACGAAAAATTTCAGAAAAAAACAACAAGCATTTTCGGTACTTTCCTGTACATACATTTCAGCAACACAATTTAGTGTGAAAAAGGATCGTCTAAGTATTCGAAAATGGAATCGGTAAACGGACAAAAATCCGCATTTCATCTACTTTTCATTCCTTTTTCGGATTTTTTTTTCTGCTTGGATATGTTCGCTGTACCAAAACGTTTGCAAGTAGAGTTCCACCGATTCCAATTATTTTCAGATAGTGATGCCGATTAATCGGCTTATAGGCAAAGAATCGGCCGATACCGATACGATAAACAACCACAAAGAAATGTATTAATTCATGAACAAACGAATATAAATAAGAACAAAACAAATGTAAACAAATAAGGGGTCATTCAAGTATTACATAAGCAGAGTTGAAGGGCCTTTTAGTTCCTGAAATTATCTACTGGGTTGTTGCATAAATAAAGTAATGTTGTAAACAAATCAACAATAAAGCTCTCGGCGTCAATTACCAAAAAAAAAAGAAATGCTCATGTACTCACAATTTTCTGCTCCCGGAATTCCAGGATTTTGCAGCTCCTGACCTACGAACGAAGGCCACTGCGGCGTGCTCTCTTTGCATTTCTGCTTTTGCTGTTGTGCGTTCTTTATTTCACTACCAATGGCAGATATGCATTTTGGTTGTGGCGACGGTCGTGCAATTACAGCCGCGTCACCGGTCAAGCCGCCACCACTACCAGTTAAAGATGTGCTGCCCCCGCGCTCATCTATGCTGGTACAACTAATACTGATGGTGTTGTGTGTGTTGCCGATTGTACTGGCACCCACACTGCCGGCCGATGAAGACGAGGAGGCTGGCGCATTACCGCTGCTTGCATTCGAGCTGGTATTCGAGAAATATGAAAAGGCCGATGACGAAGATGTGCTACTGCCGTCTCCATTGTGGTTTGTCGAAATCACTTGATTGGTAGCGTTTTGTTGTTGCTGCAGTTGATTTGCTCTAACAGCCTCAGCGGCAGCTTCTTGTGGCGTATAATAGCTTACATTACCGAATTGCCGATAACCACCCAACGCTAGACCACTCGTAACTGCTTGATGAAGCGCCGGGTTCCGTATTGTGAACATGCCATTCTCATTCTTGATTATGGCAGCTGGCTGATCCATCGGTATAGGTGCTGCTAGCGGTAAACCGCCTGTAGGACGACCTATAAAATGGATAAACATGTGTTTACAGCACTGTTCTAAAAATTATACTCCAAACTGAAAACTCAAGAATTAAGCTTAAGCACAAGGTTTGCACATAAATTTGTTTCTAAATAATAAACTGATAAAGTACCCTGCAAACCAAAGTTCCCGAAATCTTAAGAAGAAACCCTGCAAACCAAAGTTCCCGAAATCTTAACGAAACCTTTAGGAGTATCTGATTTCTGTAACGATTTTATTCCGAACCTTCAAAGAAAATTATATGAAGTGGTTGACACGAACTCGTAAAGAAATTTCTGTACGAAAAATAAAGAAAATTCTGAAAAAAGTCTGCAAGAAATTCTTCACTTAGCAGCATTATTTTCATTTCTTCACCGATTTTCTTCCGAAATTTTGTAAAAGAATGGAAGTGTGCGTAATTTATTTCATTTTAGAAAATTCGGCAAAAAATCGGATGGGATCTTTCCGAATTCTTTAAAAATTCTTTACGATTCAGAATACTCTGATAAAATGGTTTGCAGGGAATCGTTAGGAGTATTTCATTTCTGTACCGATTTTTTTACGAATTTTCAAAGAAAATTATATGAAGTGGTTGACACGAACACGTAAAGAAATTTCTGTACGAAAAAAAATAATTCTGGAAAAATTCTGAAAGATATTCTTCACATAGCAGCATTACCCTGCAAACCAAAGTTCCCGAAATCTTAACGAAATCTTTAGGAGTATCTGATTTCTGTAACGATTTTTTTCCGAATCTTCAAAGAAAATTATATGAAGTGGTTGACACGAACTCGTAAAGAAATTTCTGTACGAAAAATAAAGAAAATTCTGAAAAAAGTCTGCAAGAAATTCTTCACATAGCAGCATTATTTTCATTTCTTCACCGATTTTCTTCCGAAATTTTGTAAAAGAATGGAAGTGTGCGTAATTTATTTCATTTTAGAAAATTCGGAAAAAAATCGGATGGGATCTTTCCGAATTCGTTAAAATTTCTTTACGATTCAGAATACTCTGAAAAAATGGTTTGCAGGGAAAAATCGAATTAAATCTTAACGAATTCTTTAAAGTTTCTTTACAATGCAGAATACTCTGAAAAAATGGTTTGCAGGGGTATCTGATTTCTGTAACGATTTTTTTCCGAATCTTCAAAGAAAATTATATGAAGTGGTTGACACGAACTCGTAAAGAAATTTCTGTACGAAAAATAAAGAAAATTCTGAAAAAAGTCTGCAAGAAATTCTTCACTTAGCAGCATTATTTTCATTTCTTCACCGATTTTCTTCCGAAATTTCGTAAAAGAATGGAAGTGTGCGTAATTTATTTCATTTTAGAAAATTCGGAAAAAAATCGGATGGGATCTTTCCGAATTCGTTAAAATTTCTTTACGATTCAGAATACTCTGAAAAAATGGTTTGCAGGGTATATCTAATGTTGTATTTTCCCTGCAAACCATTTTTTTCAGAGTATTCTGCATTGTAAAGAAATTTAAAAAAATTCGTTAAGATTTAATTCGGTTTTTTGCCGAATTTTCTAAAATGAAATAAATGACGCACACTTCCATTCTTTTACGAAATTTCGGAAAAAAATCTGTGAAGCAACGAAAGTAATGGTGCTATGTGAAGAATATCTTTCAGAATTTTTCCAGAATTTTCTTTATTTTTCGTACAGAAATTTCTCTACGAGTTCGTGTCAACCACTTCATATAATTTTCTTTGAAAATTCGTAAAAAAAATCGTTACAGAAATGAGATACTCCTAACGATTTCCTTAAGATTTCTGGAACTTTGGTTTGCCGAGTGAATTTGTGACAAACCTCATATACCTAATTCATCTGCTATTTAAGTTGTGTTTTCGTATTCTCCAGCAAAAAATATCCAGTAACTAGTCAGTAACCAAATTTCGGAGAGGAAGCCAATATTTACACCCAATGAGTGAAATATGCAAGAAAGTACGAAAACGCAAAACCAGCAAGAAGTTGCTAGTTTTATGAACAGCTGATTAATTTGTTATTTTCCGATGCAATTTTCTTAGAAAACTAGTATTTTCCATCTTATATATTTAAATAGGTTTATTTTGTCAATTACAACTCTAAAAGCACCACAAACAATTATTTTGTTAATGTGAATTACATTAAGCATCATGCCATCAGCTGTTTTTCTTCTAGCAAATAGTTGCTAGTAAAAATTTGTCCAGTAAAAATTCAGTAAAACTTGCAAGTTCAGCTGCCATTTTTGCTCTCTCAATTTCCCCTCTTTTGTTAGTTTCTTGCAAGTTTTTGGGTACGAAAACGACATCCAATAAAAAAAACAGTAAAATTAGTACTGGATTTACTGGATATTGCGCACACGAACAGGGCTTTAATAACACAGGACCAAAAAAAAAATAAATCGATGAAAGGTTCTTTTGACCAGACCAGGTACTTCATATGTTTTTGGGTTCGCTGAACACGAATACGAAGTCCGTTTTGCTCCAGCGTCTAACCTCAAAAAATCTATGGGACTTTATGTGAGATACAAAAATTTTATATATATTTACGAATTTATTTTTATCTTGGTATCAATGGGTATTTGGGGTCGCCTATTACGAATATGAACGTATTGATATTGTTTTTTTGTGGAGGGTGTTGCGCAGTTTCTCGTTGGGGAAAATAACAGTGAATCTTACAATTTGTTTCTGACTATGTACAAAACTGTACAAAACCACAATTGATATGATGATCGATGAGCAAATGGGAATTGTTTTGTGCAGTTTATTTTCGTACCCTGGTTATTACAAAATAGGAAAAAAATTTCCTTACTTTTATATGGAAAAAATCTGAGTTATTTCTGCTGTCACCGGCGGGACAAAAAAAGAACTTGCCTTTTGAAGCAGATATATTTTACGGAAACTCTGCGAATTTATTTCCCTATTCTGTGTGAACTTGATGCCTTATAATAATACAAAGAACTACGAATACAAACAAAGCAAAAACTACAACAAAAATCATTGCTTTACTATAAAAAAATCCGAAATTCCTCTGTCACGGCTAGGATAACGTTCGTCACGGGTGGGACACGTACGAATTTTTATATGAAAAGGAGCTTTAAATGTGGTCCATATTGAAGATCATTTATTAAAAAATATCAGAAGCCAAGTAGAAGTTCAATTCATTCACGTCTTATCTTCTAAAAGTTCTGAACAAAAAGTTACAATTTTTGGGTGTAATTCTTAGAGTTTATTGAGTTTTTATAATTTTTGTACGAAGTGTGAAATGTGGATTTATGTGATGCTGGTTATGTAATGTGCTAGACTTTTATAAAATAAAAATATAAACATTAAATAAATAAAGGAAAATTGCCAAAAATGGTAAAAATGTCACTTAACTTAATCAGCTGACCACAAGGGTATGTAGGTAGCTGTCACGGGTGGGACATTCTTTACTGTTGAATTAGTCTTATCTAACTATGTGGCAACGAAAACACAATTGTGGTAAACATTTGCAATGAATTTGTAACATTATGTAACAAAAACGAAACACAACTTCAACTTCTGTAATTAAATATAACAACTTTTAGCTTTTTTTATCACGGGTGGGACAAGACCAATACGGCTTAGTAATAACTCATAATATAGATAAAGAACTCACACAATTTTATTAAAAGCAGATGAGTTCTACTATATATTTTTCTTAACAAACACGAATTACACTGAAGCAAAAAGTAAATTTAATAAAAGTTAACTGAAATTGAAAGGGTTATTTTGTACTAGCACCTAACCTGTAACTAATCCACATTATTAAAATAATTCTGTCACCCACAGTTTGTTTTTCCACGGCATTTAATTAAAATTTAATTAAATACGCTTGAAAACTTTATTTAATTAATAAAAATAAATAATCTTTAATTTTACTGAGGATTTTCGGAAATATTTAGCATCAGGTGCATCTCTTTTTAGTGCCCAACAGTAATCAGCTTTGGATTCCATTTGCCTTGGTACCATTTTTCTATGATATATATATCCTGATGGAACCGCTCGCCGTGTTCGTCGCTAACGGCACCCAAATTTTCAGGAAACAATTTAAATGTGAGTGTAAGAAGCTGATCTTGAGCGACATTTTGCATATATGCGGATTTTTTGATCGGATTAAGTTTTTCTTCTAACTGTTCATCAGCCAATATGTCTCTAATTTGTGGCCCTACAAATTTCCCTCTTTAATATCTTGGAAATTTCTGTTTTCTTCTGTTGGTTTTTTACTAAGCCATTGACTTTTAACAGTTATTTGACTGCAAATATAACAAAAGTTTTCAGGATGATTTACATACACTCTGGGCATCTTCGTATGATATTTAGAAACAACAATCACAAAAAATACCGTTTTAATGTCAATACTAATAAATAATAAGCGTAACCACTTCAGTCAATTANTGTTGTTTTTGCTCTACTGATACTACCTGTTTAATGTGCCTTGGGTAGTAGTATCTAAAAAAACTTAATTTTGTTTAACACAACCACTGTTTATCAGTGTTATGAATCGCAAATTATTTGAAATTATTTTCAACACAACCTACTTTAAACTCGCTCAAAAAATTTACTTCGAACCTGATTTCAAAACGTAAAAAAAAATAATAAAAATGCATTTAAATATTTAATTTGTTATTTTTTGATTCAAGATTTTTACAAATATCTTATCCACATTTTTGTTAATTTTATAAAGAAAATAATTTTTGCGCGAGGTTCAGTTTCCCATGGAACCTCCCTAATCAGCACCAAAAAGTCGTATCAAAAACAGCTTTAACATTTGCCGCGCCAAGATTTTTTTTTTCATTTTTTTTTTGCCTGTGTTATGAATAAGGCCATAATAATTTTCTTAAAATAGTCGCTTACCTGGTATTAATCCCGGTTGTTGCTGTAGTATGGTTGCGGCAGCGCTTGCCGCTCCACCGTGAAACATCGGATTGCGTAACGTTATCATTTTCGGCTGTCCGTTGGCATTCTGAGCTGCTCCACTATCACCAACACTGCCGCTAGCGTTTGCAGCAGCTTGAGCGGCGGCAGCAGCGCGTGCATTGCTTTCTTGCTTTGATTTGTTACGCCGTTTCTTACTCTTCGATGGTTTGCCACTGGGCGGCGCCTGGCCACCACCAACACCTGATTTTGTATGGTCTTTTTTGTTATTGCCACTGGCTGGATTTGCCTCTACCATAATGATGCCGCTCTGCTCCAGAGCAGCGGCTGCAGCAGCAACGCCAGCATATGGTGCAGCACCGAAGTAATTGCCACCTGGTGCGATTATCGTCGCACCAGCTTTGTGATGGAATGATTGCGACTGTTGCGCCTGTTGTTGTAACGGTTTTGACAATTTACGTATAGACTCTGATTTTTGACGCAGTTGCTCGCTCTTCACAGGATCCACCTTAGTGAGAGTGATGCCGGGTGGCAGTGAGAGGTTTTCTACTTGAACACCTCGATTTAGCTGGTCCATTATGCTTAGAGCGGGCACCATGCCTTGGTAGCCGCCATTATTGCTGCCATTACTTACACTCGCGTAACTGGGTTGCATCGGTGGTTGACCGTTTACTTTGACACTTAGATTGCCACCAATGTGCAGCGCTTGTAGCTGTTGGGGTAAGTTGTTATACTGTTGTTGTTGTTGCTGCTGCAAGACTGGCTGAGGCGATGGTGGTATCACAACTTCGTCTGGGTTGAAGTAGCCCATATTGTTCGGTATGCCAGCTCCGCAATCCTCATAATTGTGATGCAGATGTTGTTGCTTTTGGAATTTTTTATTACGTTGCGCTTGTCGCTGTGCGCGCTTGGAGAGTGGTTTACTCTCAGCACCGGAGACCGACATTTGTTGACTGTGCTCGGCAGAATGACGATTGGAATTTTGGTTGCCGTTTCCACCACCACCACCTTATAAAGGGAATAAGAAAAAAATAGGAAAACATTGGGGATATACGTTTTTTTTTTCAGTAATCAAATAACATGCAGCATATTCTGCAAATCGTACGGTTTGGAATCGGAACCGAAGTTACAGTTCAAAAGATTTTGTTTTAAGAGTATGCAATTCGTTGATTTTAGATTTCTTGCCAACTATCGCTTAAGAAAAAATGCTTTCTTAGAAGTACTAAATGAAAGAAACGTCTATGGCGATATCAATAAAGTCAGCTGGGAGTCCGGGATTCATTATATCATCGTTTCAAAAATATTGACCAGAAGTGATTAGTGTTTTCGAAACTGTGCTAAGTGAATTAAGTGGGATATGCCAGAGGAATATAAAAATCGAAACATCATTTCGGGACTACCTTTGAATTTTCAGAATTATTTCGAGGCTTTGGGACTATTGGGACGCGAAAGTTATGCCACAATGTGAGTGTGCCTTAATTTCGACATTTATGTTGTACGACCGATTTGACAATTTTTCGGTCTCGGTTTCCTCGTAATTTTGCTTGGTCATTTGACACATGTAATTTTTTCAATTTACAGGTCTACTCTGCGCTGGCAAGAAAAAATTTGGTAACCGCCTGCCAATTTTTAAATCCTTTTCGCATTCTGTGCACTTTTGTTACCGGTACATTTTGTTGACATCTCATTAGTTGGTAACAAAATATTCCCCCGTGAAATATGTATGTATGCAATACCGGAATTTTTACAAATCTTCATAGCTGAATTGCTGACCATTTTGATTGCATTACCAACGTACCTACAATGGCAGTGACAAGAAGTGGTTACACTTTTTGGTAATACAATTTTCCAGTTACAAAATTATCGGTAAGGTGCAGAATATACCATTTAGGGCGCTGTTAAAGAGACGATCATATGATCCTTGATCACAGCACTTTTTAGTTGCTATAAGTGATTATAGTTAATATAAGTGATTCGAATAATCGATGGACTACGATTACTCAAATATTTTTTTTTTATAATTCCAACGTTGGATATACTTGTGACTTTTCAATTTATATCTTTTATTTATTAAAGTGAGCGTAAGAAAAGTGATGTGGGTTTGGGGCTTTTTTAAAAAAAGTTCTGACTATAATAACGTTAGGCTACGGTTAATATGCATGCGTATTCTGACGATTTCACCGAAACAAAAAAATAAGTCAGAATACGCATGCATAGTAACCGTAGCCTTACGTGCTCCATTTGTGGTGCATTCTTTGGCTTTCACCACTCCACTACGTCCTTAGCCAATCACCTAAAGCGAGTGCACATCTGTAATAAATATATAAAATGTGGAGCGCGGATCTTTTAGAGTGCCTTTAACGAATGCGGATCCATATAGCGACGTAATAATATGAGCTACAAATAAATTCATGTACTGCAAACAGGGCCGGATTAAGAATGTGGGGGCGCGGAGCCGTTATACATGTGGGAGCCTTTTTTTGAGTTAATAATTACAATTAATTTGAAAAAAAA